TCACTGTCCGTTTTACGCAACATCAGCAAATACAGGAGTTTTCTAGCTACTTGCACTACAATCACTTTAACGATAGCTTTTTCTCTTTTTTACAAGAAGATGAAAGACGATCCCCGAACATATCTTGTTCTGACGACGCCAAAGGCACCAAGTAAAAGAAATAACCTGACTACTCGAACGTTTGAATCCAATTGCTTTTCCTGTCGCACATTACCATTTTTTGGCACTATTTGGCCACCTATTAAAAATCAAAACACATTATCACGTGTTTTATTATGTCGAGTTAGGTGTGAATCGCATTTATAACTTTAATCTCACAAAGATTTATATTTCAACTTAATTTATAATATTTGTATCTTTGAAGAAAAATTTATTAATGATCAAATTTAATATGCAATATCTATTTCTTTTTTGCTTTTAATATTATAATGGTTCACTTTCAATGAAATTATTCCGTTATTTCATCCTACTAGTAAGAAAAGGCGAAATGATCTATATATATATATATATGTATATATATATTATGTATAATTTTATCCTTATATAAATAAAACAAAAAACGACAATGGCACAGAATGTTACTAAACTTGTTATGTTAGCTTTGATTTAGCATTCGTTTAATTATTGGCAACGTGACGAATAGTTTAAATATTAACGTTAGTTTCGAATATCATTCCCTTAATCATTCCTACTCTAGTTTTGCTGATTTCGTCGCATCTCTCATTCATTCTACACATTCTCTCCGTTTCTTTCTTACAGACTCTGTGTTCAAATATTATTCTTGTTTTTTTTCTTTTTTTCTTTTTTTTTTTTTGAGAAAACTTCTGAACTTTATCTCGTCTGCATCTCTTGGATCATTGTGCGTCCTTGGAAACTGACTAGCACATGGATTTTTGAACAAATAAATTCATTATGTCTTTTTCGACATTTCGACTTATACGTGTATAAAAGCTCCCGTGACAATCGTATTATGCATACATGTAATCATTAACAAATACGATACTCGCGAGAGTCTTGTTTCGTTAATGCTGAAATGCGAAAAAAATATTTTATATGAAATTTATTCATTATCACTGTTCGTACAGAGCCGATACCAAATATAACGCCCATTCTCATCTTGATATTACCGAGTCTTTATTTCCCTTCTAACTTATTCATTGCAAAGTGCACAGCAAAATTATTGCCACGTGCAATAGTATTAGCGATGTTTGTAAATCGGCGAACAAGCGTATAATGTATTTTTATATAATGTTTTCGGTACCGTTATAATTGGCAATTCACGTCCATTCTGCTTACAAAATATATGAGTCTCTCGGCAGTGATGTCGCACTGTCTTCTCATACTTTCAATTAGATCGAGTCGACATTTAAATTATTTGGAATCACATTCCTATTAAATCATCGCAATCAACTCTAAAAGATGCACAACAATACACTGAGATACCTAAATATATACAATATCCTAACGAATAGCGAACAAAATTTAAAGTATACAAAAATCACAAAGTGAACAAGAGGCACGATACTATTCTTTATGAGCTGCATAACATACGGAGGAGTTTTTTTTTTTTTTTTTTTTTTTTTTTTTTTTTT